ACGGGCTGGTGTCAAACTGCGGGGGGCCTTGTAGGCTGAGTTAAAGATTTGGGTCTTTATCCTAAAAGCGATGGGAAGCTGCCACTTTTAAGCACAGAGGTGGTGTGATTAGATTTAGGACTTTAGAAGATCCCTCTGGCTTCCATGAGAAGACAAAAACAAAAACAAACTCTGGGCTATCAGGAGGCTACTGCAGGAATTCAGGCAAGAGATGGTGGTCATTTGGGACTAGAGAGCAGCAGTGGAGACAGACAGGTTTGAGAGGAATCTGAGAGGTAAAATTGGTAGGGCTTGTTGATGTGGATTTGGAAATGAGAGAGAGAGGAGGTGTGGAGCATGTGCAAGAAGCTAATAGCCCGGTCACAGGGTAGACACAAAGGGAAAATATGGAAAGTCAGTTACCTCCACACTCACCAACACCATTTAAGCATTCCCTGCTCATGGCTGGGAGGGGTGGCGGGGAGATGTGGCAGAGCCATAAAGCAAGTCACGCATTGCCCTTCAAGAGCTCACATCTTATAGGACAGACACATCTGTAGATACGCAACATGAAAAACAAGGTGACAGAAAAAGACTCAATTGACGTTACAAACAGTGACCTGTGTCTGTACTTATACCGTTCGGAAGTCAGGATAGGAGGGGCTGGAACCTGGGGAGTCTTTGGTTTGGAGGCAATGTGCTAACTCTGCTGGCGGCTATGAGCTTTAGCTTCTCCTCCGGGAACCTGGAGAGGGCGGAGGAGTGGGGGATGGAGAGGGAGACAGGCTCTAAACCACTTGGTTTTATCTTCTCAGGGCACGCAGGTGCACATGTCGAAGAGCCTGCTCACCACGTCGGACAAGCCTGGGGTCTGAGAGAGCCCACATTTGTAAAGTGATAGAGACAGAGGGATCTTTTTCTGACTTAACAGATAAACTGAAGCCTAGAGTGATTAAGTGACCTGTCCAAAGACAGCGGGCTAGTAAATAACTGCACCAAAACTAGAAGCTGGGTCTTCTGACCTCTGATTCTGTGCTGCTTCCACATCCTGTCTCCTAAATTTAGGGTCAATCACAGCCAAATAAGCGACACATCACATTCCCAGCTGGGTTCAGGGTTATGCCTGCTTGTGCTAACATGTAGCTTTTGTGTCCCCTGTGTCTTCTAACTGGTTTCCTCTCGTGGGACACTCTGCCAGGTCATTTTACATTAATCCAGTGCAAAATTCTCAGAATGTCATTTCTGAGGGGTATCATACTGAACTCTGCCACTTTCTCATTCTGCACCCTCCCTCTGGCCAAAACACTTCCATACCCGGAGAGATGGTACTCCTGGATTTTACATAAATTACCCCTCACCTCTGCCTGCCAGGCTTTTCCCCTACCTTCTCATCTGATTTTTATGAATTATGGTTGTTGTTTAACATACTGAACATATTTGGCTTAGAGCAATACTTAGGTAGATCAGATAAATGGAGGTGGGATACTCTCATAGGAATGTAAAATCATTCCCAGCTAATAGGGATGTAGTTTCCTCTCCTGTTTTCAGGTCTGGATAATATTGAGAAATATTAATCAGCAAGTTAGAGAGTCCATCCCTGACGAAGGAACCACTCAAGAATTTATTGAGCTCTTTAGCACACTGCTTTCTGGGGAACCTAGACAAACTGGAGAGGAGTAAGGCAGGAGAAAAACAACAGAATACATTGGACAAGTTATTATGAGGTTTATGCATTTATAAATATCCTGTCACAACAGAGTCTCTCAGTGGAAGGGGCTTAGAAATCTAGGGCATGGAGGCCGAAACTTAGATAGTGATAGTAAAAAATCTAAGGAGTTCTAATCAAGCAGCTATTGTGCTGTTCCTACACAAATTGTACCTCAGGGGACCCAAATAACTGATAAGGGGGAATTCTCTTTATAGAAGTATTCCAACTAATAAATGAAGAAGGAATGATAGAAATAAAATACCACCGTTTGGCAAACCCAAGTGAAGTAAGGGCTTATCGATGGCTACTAACATCATAAGAAAAGAGACAAAATAACACTCTGTACCTTCTGATAGAAGTATGTAAGATCACTATAGCGTATTCTTGCCAAAAAAATCTGAATCTGATCATGTTTACAGATCCAACTGCCAATATTGGGAAAGGAGGGAATAGGAGAGGACGGAATTGGCAAAATACAGATCTGATGGAGACACTACAGGACAGTGAGGTTTCTTCAACAAATGAGATACAAGAAAAGGAGAGAGAGAGAGAAAGAGAGAGAGAGAGCAAAAGGAGGGAGGACTTTAGATCCAGACTTGTAAGGAACGTATCAACCAAATGAATGTAGAGATCTCATTTGGATTTTGATTCAAATAAACTAAAAAGCAAAAACAAAAAACATAAGATAATTGGGGGAATGTGAACAGTGACTGGACTATTTGATGATATTACAAAATCACTGTTAATTTTTTTCAGGAGTAAAATAGCATTGTGGCAGTTTGGTAGAAGAGATGCCTTTTAAAGCAGTGGTTCTCAAACTTGAGCATGCATCATGATTATCTGGAGGGCTTATTAAAACACAGACTGCTGGGGCCCGCCCAGTGGCATAGTGGTTAAGTTTGCCGGCTCTGCTTTGGCAGCCAGGGGTTTGCGGGTTCAGATCCTGGGTGTGGACCTGCACAGCGCGCTCATTAAGCCATGCTGTGGTGACATCCCACATACAAAATAGAGGAAGATTGGCACAGGTGTTAGCTCAGCGACAATCTTCTTCACCAAAAAAAAAAACAAAAAGGGGCTGGCCCCGTGGCCGAGTGGTTAAGTTCACGTGCTCCGCTGCAGGCGGCCCAGTGTTTCGTCAGTTCGAATCCTGGGCGCGGACATGGCACTGCTCATTAAGCCATGCTGAGGCGGCGTCCCACACGCCACAACTAGAAGGACCCACAACGAAGAATATACAACTATGTAGCGGGGGGCTTTGGGGAGAAAAAGGAAAAACATAAAATCTTAAAAAAAAAAAAAACCCAAAACAAACCACAGATTGCTGAGCCCCACCCTAGAGTTTCTGATTCAGCAGGTCTGGGGTGGGGACTTATAACTTGCATTTCCAACAAGTTCCCAGGTGATGCTACTGCTCACATTTTGAGAACCACTGCACTGGATCAACCAGATTTTTTTGTTCTGGTCAATTATCTAATTACCCTTTCAAAGAAAGAGCTTAGATTATCAGTTGAGCTCTATCCCCCATGAGTTCCAGCACTCAGATGGCATTCCAGAGAATGAACTGGTGTTCCAAGGCTGACGTAATAATTTACGTGGTATTGACGTAGAAAGGCTTGAAAGAAAAAACCTTCCATCCACCACTTTTCTCTCTAGAATGTTAAACACCCTACTCCTTCCTCAGCCCCTTGCATCTGCCCTTACCCCTCCACTCTTACTCCACGAGCATCAAGGATCCCCAGCACAGAATCTTGTAAAGCTCTTGGGAACTCAGGCTACACCCCTCCATCATTTCCAAATTCAGGGTGGTTTGATGGATATAATATGGGTCCTCCAGTCCTACAGTGTCTCAGAGACACTCTTAACAAATCCCAGAGCTGGTCTGTTCCATGTTGTTGAAGAGAAGGCCTGCAGCCAAGTTCTGGCTCTTCTGTTAACTATGTGACCCACAATGAGTCCTTTAGCATTTGCAGCCCTTAGGTTTTCAACAGGTTAAAAAAGAAGTCCCTCCTTATGAGAAAAAATGGGACACCTGGAGAGATAATAGCCAGAGTTCCTTGGAAAAAAAGAGATTAGCAATAATACTGTAACATTAAACTTTAGAGATATTACACTTCATAGTGTAACAACAAAGTGCTGGCGTGTGTGTGTGTGTGTGTGTGTGTGTGTGTGTGTGTGTGTTAGATCCTAACAACAACCTTGTAAGGTAGGGCCTAAGAGGGTGGAAGTCTGGCCAATTTATGTGTCAGGACCAGGACTCAAACACCTCACCTCCTCAATGAAGGCAGTGTTCTTTCTAACACGCTGCCTTCCTTCAATTTATTTCAATTAAACTCAGGAATGTACTAGTGCACAAAATGAATGACCCTAAAAGGATCAGAAAGTTGCCTTAACTTAAAACTAAAGGGCCAATGACCCAGAAAATTAGAAAGCAAGAGTGGTTTCCTTCAGCTAAATGCCAGGAAGGATCCCTGTAAAATCATTTAACATTCTCAGCAATTTTGCTTTCACAATTTTACCGTCCTCTTCCAGGTCCCTCTGGCTTGTGCATCACAGGATATTTTCTACGCCTCAGATGGCAGCAAACCTCCAGTGGGAGAACCTCACACGCTGCTCCACAAAGAGCTTCTGAGATTTTTCAGCCTCTAAGTCACAAGACCACAGCTTCTCTATGATAATTCTGCCTCATCATGGCAATGACACATCTGGTGACTAATGTCTGCATAGCACTGGATGGGAGAGTGTTTTCCATTTCATTCAGTCTGTGTTCACACCCGAAACCTTCTAGTTCCACTCTAATTTCTTGCAAATTCTGGGCTTGGGAGGCTGCACTAATAAATTCCTTATTGAGTAATAAGCCTGATAAAACCAACCAACCGTGTATTGAGTGTCTTTTAAGGGCGAGGCACTATATGGAGGGCTTTACAGAAGACCTCTAATCTTAACCATTAATAGTGACAACGTGCCCATTTAGTACTGAGCGCCCACTTTGTGCAGGGACTGCACTAGGTAGCTTACACGTGATCTCTTTGCCACATTTATCTCACTTCTCTTGTAAGAATCAGGCATGAACCATTAAACTCGCCTTTCCCTAAGAGTCAGTTAAAAACACTGAAGGAATGTGTTTTGTGGTCATAACATTACTTGGACCCTGTATGTTTATCCTCGCCATTCAAACATGGAAAAAAGAGAATAGATCAGGGCCCAACTTGAGCCGTTGACGCCCAGGTTCACTCTATTTGGGGTACTCGAAGACAGCGGCAACGGAAATTTGGAAGGGAGCATCAGAACCACTAAAGACTATATTCTAAATCAAATGGGTGTTTTGGTGGCATAAAAGATGTGCTTTCTGACGGAAGCTCTTGTCACACTTACTACAGTGAAAAGGTTTTTCTCCTGTGTGTGTTCTCTGGTGGGTGAGAAAATGGGAGCGCTGATTGAAGGTTTTGCCACACTCAGGACACGGATAGGGTCTGTCTCCCAAGTGGATCCGTTGGTGGGTAATGAAGTGGGAGCTCTGATTGAAGCTCTTCCCACACTCGCCACATTTATAGGGTCTTTCCCCCGTGTGGATCCGTTGGTGCTTAACGAGGGCAGAGCTGTCGGCGAACCCTTTCCCACAGTCATCGCACTTAAAAGGCCTCTCGCCTGTGTGAGTTCTCTGGTGCGTGGCCAGATGTGAGCTCTGACTGAAACTCTTGTGGCAATGAGGACAGCTGAAGGGCCTCTCTCCCGAGTGGGTGCTCATGTGAGCTACGAAATGAGAGCTGTCTCTAAAGCCCTTCCCGCACTCTGGGCACTGAAAGGGCCGTTCTCCTGTGTGGGTTCGTTGGTGCTTAGTCAAATCTGAGCTCTGGCTAAAATTCTCCCCACAGTTATGACATCTGTACGGCTTCACTCCCGTGTGGGTCCTCTGGTGGGTGATGAAATTGGAGCTTCGACTAAAGCTTTTATGACATTCGAGGCACGTGTAGGGCTTCTCTCCCGTGTGGGTCCTTTGGTGCATTATGAGGTGGGGCTTCCGCCCAAAAGTCTTCCCACACTCTGGGCACTCGTAGGGTCTCTCGCCCGTGTGGGTTCTCTGATGTTTGACGAGCGTCGAGCTGTCGCTGAATTTCCTTTCACACCCACTGCATTGGTAGGGCTTCTCTCCTGTGTGTGTTCTGCGATGGGTGACCAGGTCGGAACTCTGTTTGAAGCCTTTCCCACACTCAATGCATTTATAAGGCCTCTCACCAGTATGGGTTCTGAGGTGTCTCACGAGATAGGAACTCTGGTTAAAGCTTTTTCCACATTCTTCACACACAGGCTTCTTTCCTACATATCCAGCCAGGAGCTTGTTTAAATCCTTCTCCTGCGAAAAGGGACCCTGATGGCCCTCTCTTGGAAGAGTTCCATGTTGCCCTTCTAATTCAAGGCCCCTCTCCCAGTTTCCTCCCCAGCTAGGAGTCTGAGAAATATCTTTATTGGCCCTTGCTGAGGATGTTCCACATTGTTCTGCTGTTTCAGAAATGTCCCGATTGAGTTTTACCATCTGATTCTCAAAGTCTGAAAAGTTAACAGAAGTAACAGAATAAAGTTATCAGTTATCGGGAAAGAAAATCAGAAAGCAGCAAAATTAAAATCAGTGTTTTTGCAACAGACTACGCTTAATTTGACTAGTTTGGTTTTCACTTTGTGAAAAATTTATTGAAGTTCATTCAGCTTACAGAAAACGTGAATTCCTAATCCCTTTTTATTTTAAGATGGCCAGATGAACCTTGAGATGACCTTATTATTCTCCAAGCGTATACCACATATTGTCCAAACTGGGCAACCCCTTTCGAAGATGTTAAAGTCTGGACGAAAGTGAAATGCTTACTTAAAATGAAGACTTTCTTTAGTCAATTACTGACTGCCCAAGAAATCAAATTTAAACTTCTAATAGTAAGAACGAAAGTCTGGGGCAGCATTCCAATTTTTCATCTAAACAAGGAATGAAATGCTATGGTTCCTCCCACCAGGTAACACTCACATCTCACCTGTGTGACTTTCCCGTAGGATCTTCCTCATCTCAAAATTCGGGAGTGGCAGGACCCATGGCTCCTCTTTCTGCTCCAGCTGGGAGATCACACTTGGTCTAGAAATGCTATATAGGAGGATGAACATAGGAGGTTAATCTGAGCCAATCACACAAGGCCTGGCCAAAATCTAAACCCTCCTCCTTCCCTAAGTAGAAGAGAACACCCAGGGAAACTCAAATGTGTGTTTGGTCTCATTAAAAGGGCAGTCATTCTATCAATAATCCATTTTTCGAGTTTTCTCAATTTATTAGCAGGCAAACACAAGACAATGAAAAAAAAGGGCAGCCAAGATGAAGTGAGAAAAGAGGGTGATCTCCCCAAGAGACTGAGAAAAAAAGCCTTTTTCCTCCCATTAAAAAAAAAAATCAGGCGCCAGCCCCGTGCCCAAGTGGTTAAGTTCATGCACTCCACTTTGGCGGCCCAGGTTTTCGCTGGTTCGGACACATTAGCTAATTATTAACTAACTATATTTCAATAAATGAGACTTTAAAAAAAGACAATTAGCATCTCACTCATATGTAGAAGATAAAAACAATGACAAACACATAGCTTTGGAGATTGGATTGGTGGTTACCATGGGGAAGAGGGTAGGGTGGGAAAGGGGTGATTAGGCTCACATGTGAGGGGATGGACTATAGTTAGTTTTTGGGTGGTGAACATGATGTAATCTACACAGAATTCGAAATATATTACGATGTACATCTGAAAGCTATATAATGTTATAATCCAATGTTACTGCAATAAAAAAAAAGGCAATTAGCTTTTTTAAAAAAGGACAAAGAGCTGTTCATCACAATACTGGTGACTATTTGGAAATGACCTAAACTTCCCACAAGAAAGGAATGATTATATTTGATTGAGCCGTATGAAACGGCCATTTTATAGGTAAAAAATGGTCAAATATATGATTCAATCTAATGTAAATTACTGTATTCCATACAACAAAATACTAAGTGGTTATTCTAAGTGATGTAGAGAAAGATAACAGTATTTATTGTTGTAGAAATATATTCACAAAACCATGTGTAAGAAAGTATGATGTACAACTGGAACTACAGTAGGATCCTAATTGTTCTGTTTTATTTTTCTAATCATATATATGCTTAGAAAAAAGGCTGGAAGGACAGCAGCTCTTCAGCGGTGGGATGGATGACTTTTATTTTCACTTTGCTTGTCTCCTTCTTCAATGAGCAGATATTACTTGTGTAGCAGGTATGAAGGAAAGCAGGGAGAAGGGGTAGCCATGGTATTTTAGAAAAAGCACTGGGCTGGACTCGTATCTCTGCCACTTAACTCTGAGTCTCAGCGTCCCGAGCTGGAAAAGGGGGATAATAACACACACATCAAAGGCTTATGCTGAGCCATCAACGAAGCCACCTGCAAACCATAAAGTGCCATAGAAAAGGATGTTATTCTCTTTCTGCCAGGGAGGCTACCATGATTCCCACAGAGAGTCAGAGCTCTAGGAGACCAGCATCCCCAGAGACCACTCAGACCTGAGCGCTCTCAAGATATCTGAGTCTTAAATCCAAAGGAGAGTAGCATCCTTACCCGTTGAGAGCCCATTCTTCTACGTGTGCTGGGTGGTGTCCCTGAAGAGGATTCTGTAAGCAGGGTCCAGGTAACCCACTCTTCCCTGAAGTCCCCAGCCACATCATTGAGGGTCATCAGGTCCTACAGCAAGAGACCTCAACATGCATCAACAGCTCTCTACATGTTCTCCCCATTGTCTGAAAACCAAATGACAGCCGTCATGGCCACCAGTACACCCAAACGGAACGCCCTGACTAGAAAGGCTCTCAGGTAAATTCTCTCAACCACGGAAGGGTTGCTTTTCTTATTCTGTTTTTACATAATCCTTCCCTTGGCCAACTCACCCATCACTGAGTGAGGCCTGGGCCTCCCAGACACATCTGCAGAACTTCTGTCTTTGAACACACTAACTTCTTGAGGAACAAATTGTCCATGACACACAAGATAAACAAAGGAGAGCGTGTGCAGGTATAACTTGATTTCTAGAAAGCTTTGGATTCTCTCCAACTACATTTTCTTCAGCAAGCCAGGAAGTCGTGGGCTTAATTCTACTCATATTAGTTATGAGAACAGCTGACTTTTCGCGGCTTGTCGATTGGTGGCAACCTCATGGGACAGCCTATGCAGAACTCCAAAGGGAACTGTCCTGGGGACCATCTATTTCAGGGTTTAATGGAGCTAGAAATGAGACTTAAAAAGATATGGATTACAAGGGGAAAAAAAGGCATGGACAAGCTGTAAAATTAAGCGAAATTCAATGGGAATAAGAACAAAACATGACCCTTGGGGGCTGAAGCAATCATTAACACATTAATAAAGTTGACAGCAGGATCACGAAAAAATTATTTTGAGGGAGATGGTCAGATTCCTGGATGGATCAGTGATTTATTCAGTAAGTAATATGTTGTAAGGTATTAGGGGTCACAAAGAAGTGTAAGATAACATGTCCCTGCCTTAAAGAGTTTCCAATGGAAACAAACACAGGTCAGCCAGCTGAGCCTGCTACAAAGAATCCTGGGTTTCAGTGCAGGATGGACCAGGTGCGGTGAGGGGGTTTTTCCCTTTCCCATCTTCCGTCTCACCATCAAAGCACCGGTCCTACTAGAACACACTCGCAAACACTTCTCGTGGAGACAGTTATGCATTTACAGACATTGCTCTGGGTCACTGACAAAGTAGCGAGTTTCTAAGGATCTAAAAACCCTAGGGATGCAATTCATCTGTCTGGCTTAAAACCTTCACAAGCAAAAATAATGTCAGTAGGAAGTGGACATTGGAAGGAGTTTTGAGCATACATTTTATTTCTGCATCCATTACAAAACACGACAGCAGGGCCGCCTGCAGGAGGCGAGTTCTCAGCCACTGTCCCAGAAACCCTGTTTCCCGCCCAGCCTCCTGTCCCCTGCACAGGTGACCTCGAAGGCCGTGCAGCGCCCAGGTGCTGTGACTAAGTGCCATTGTGAGGAGCAGCCCTCTGCTCACTGGGGTTATTAATAGGAACATGACCGCAGGGGCAGCGCCGACACCCATCTCCTCCCTCGTGGTGCTGCAGGCCCCAGTCGGGGGCCGGGGACCTCCATGAGGACCAAGAGCACGGATGGGGAGGATGAGCCATCCCGACGACGGCGCGGAAAACCGCAGCTACCTCAGCCCGCTCCTCAGCAGGACCTGCGGGCTCCGAAGGGCGGGCGCGGGGACCCGGCAGCGACACGTCGGGGCGGCGGGCGCGCCCTTCCACGCCCCTCTGTGGTGCCCGGGTGGCCGCCGCCGTCTGCTTCCCGGATCACTCACCGCCCCAGGGCCCAGCCCGGGGATGGAGCAGGAAGTGAGTCCTCCACCGCCGAGCCGCACCCGGCCCGCAGCGCCGAGGTGGTCCCTCCCAGAACCCGACTGTGATTCGTGCGTGACAGGACTGTGGGGACACAGGTGGGACTCCAAGCCCGACAGCCAGCCGCCGGAAAACACCGCCTCTGTCCTCTTGCCATTGGCTCCTCAGTTTCCATGACGAGATACCTTCCCCGTCCATAGGCTGATTGGGCTTTCAATCACCGCGGGGCCTTCTGGGAAATGTAGTCCAGAGCAAGATTTCCTCAAAAGACGAGCACCGGGACGCCCAGTTCTGAACGGTGACAAGTGCTAAACCCGATTCCCGCGCTACCTGACTGCGACGGGGGCTCTCCGGAGCTGACGGGGTCTCCAAAGACTGTACGTCCAGAGAGGGATCTGCAGGTGCGAGCCTCCTGGCCTCACCCAACTACCGCGGAGCAGCCTTGCACCACCGGCGGCGTCTCCCGGGATCTGGCGCCTCGCCCTTTCAGAGCGCCAAGCAGCACATTGCTCCTACCATGCTGCGCATCCTCCTCTGCCCGGTCCCCTGCCCGAGCCCCGGGTGGCCAGAGCCTGGAATGGTGTCTGCCATCTCACACTGGGCTTAAGAAACCCCAAGCAGAAGCCGATAATGGAAAACAGATGTCTGCGTCCTTCCATTGGCATCACAGTTCCCAGGCATATCTCCTCCCCGTTGGTTAAGGCACTGTTAATAGCCCAATGTGGCAGGCGAGGGCGTCGAGTACTATTCTAGGAAGTGTGTATTGGGTTCCAAACTGTGGAGGCTCCTGGGTCTTATGTGAGAGCCAGTGTTCCCTTGTGGGCGGGCCCCTACCTAAAAAATAATAGAGGCCTTACCTTACAATGAAGAAAATGGGCCTGTCTATCCTATTTGTTGATTCAATACAATTTAAAAAAGAAAAGAACATTTTGTGATGCACTGTAAAATGCTTAGAATTACCAGCCAATGGGCTATTGTGGAAGAAGCCTTTGATGCTAATTCAACCATTCCTTCAACAAACATGTCTAGTGTGTCTTCCAACAAATATTCACTGGGAACGTGCTATACTCAAGACGGTTCTGGGCACTGTGGTGACCCACAGGATCACACATGACCCTCGATTTCATGAAGCTAACAGTCCAACAGGGAAGATAAACCATAAAGATACTAAAATACTAAGTAATATTTTGTCTTTTCTTCTTTTTCTCATGTAGCTTATAGCTCAGTTATTTTGCTACATAGTTGTAATCATCTGCAAGATAACCACAATAGCATTTTGAGGAATTCTGTCCACTATAAACAAATGTCTGGTTTTGTTTAGCAGATGTATCTTAGTTATATGGAAATTATGAAAATGGAAATCTCATGGGAACAGCAAGGAACACCCAAGAAACCTAGGGAGTGCCAGGCGTCACGTGACTGGAACATAGTTCAGGACCTGGAGAATCAAGTCATCTCCAGGCCCCTCAGGAGTCTTTGTGGTGTTCTGCCATCTGAGAGATTCTGTGGCTCTTCAGCCAATCAGCAGGGAGTGGGGAGGGGAGATGAATGGAGAGTCACAGAATCTGGCTGATGGCTATCCCCGGCCCCCGTCTCTCTCTCTGGCTTCAGTTCCTTCTGCCCCTGCCTTGTTCTCTCAGCATTTTATTCACCTTTATAAGGTGAAGGAGGGGAGGAGAAGCTTGGTCTCATAGCAAGAGAAGTCAGTAGAGGAAACAAGACCATACACCCCAGGTGGCCACCTGGAGACAGGACCACCACCTGTTGGGAGTTGGGTGCTTAAGAGTGTGGCTGAGGGGCCGGCCCGGTGGCACAGCAGTTAAGTGCACACGTTCTGCTTCAGCGGCCTGTGGTTCGCTGGCCTGGATCCAGGGTGCAGACATGGCACCACTTGGCAAGCCATGCTGTGGTAGTCATCCCACATATAAAGTAGCAGAAGATGGGCACAGATGTTAGCTCAGGGCCAGTCTTCCTCAGCAAAAGGAGGAGGTTTGGCAAGAGATGTTAGCTCAGGGCTGATCATCCTCAAAAAAAAAAAAAAAAAGAAGAAGAAGAAGAAGAAGAGTGTGGCAGAGAGGGGGAAGTTCAGGACAGAGGGGAAACTATGAACTTCATGGAGAATGAAAAGAGAAGAGAAAAAGATTTTTGGCAGGTACTATAACTGAAATTTTTAAGAGAGGGAGTATATTAGTTATCTATTGCTGTGTAACAAATTGCACCCAAACTTAGCAGTTTAAAAAAACAAACACTTATTATCTCGTAGTTTCTGTGGGTCAGGAACCTGGAACAGCTTCACCGAGTGTCTCTCACAAGGTTGCAGTCCAGGTGTTGGTTGGGGCTGCAGTTATCCAAAGGCTTGACGGGGGCGGGAGGATCTGCCTCCAACCTCACTTGTACGGCTATTTCCTCACAGGAAGGCCTCTCCTCACAACGTGGCAGCTGGTTTCTCCGGAACGAGTGATCTAAACGTGAAAGAAGCAGAAACTAAACTGATCTTGGAAGTGATACACCACCCCTTCTACTAGATGCTCTCAGTCACACAGACCAACCCTGGTACAGTGTGGGAGGAGACTTCACAAGGATGTGAATACTAGGAGGCAGGAATCATTGTGGACCACTTTGGAGGCTGCCTACCTCACGTCTCAAGCAGATTTTAAGACATTTTCCTTGTGACATACACTGTCAAACTCCTGTAAACCCTCTTTAAAGAAACTTGTAGTAGAGATCTGTATGCATGGGGAAGCAGGAGGGACAGTCACAATTGTACACACTGTGACCCAGATGTACAAATTTTTTAAAAATATCTCTATAATCAAACTAAGATTCCTAAGGAGAGTTTCATTACTGGGCAGTTCTTCAGCTTACCAGTTAAAAATAGTAGTCTCTTCTGGGTTTAGAACAGCCTAATTTTGAGTAACTCTTAGTCAATTGAAAGTTCAAACTCCCTACGAGAGCTGTATCTCTCCTCCAAAGGTCTCCCCTCCACTTACTCCTTCCCAAGATGTTATCTAGGCGCAAGGGGAAGGGACCCTGGTTCTCCAGCTGACCTTTTCCTCCTGCTGGCTCCTGCTCTCCCCACTCGAATGCAGCTTGCCTCACCAGGTCTCTGCATCAGCCTTTGTCCTGGTCGCATCTCGTACTGACCTGTCCCAGCGTAGTGGCCTGTTCTCTCTGGTGCCTGCTTAGGCTGCTACTCAGAAGCCTTGGCCACAGGGAGGCTTCCTAGCTCTCAACTTCAGCTACTCCCATTGCCGTCACTGGGAGCACTTAGGGACTTCTGGAACCCTTCATGCTGCACAGCATCGAAGAAGTCTTGGGTACTACCTCTGACCCTCTTTCTGCTCAATTCCTCTATGGCTGCCATTTCTACCCTGCTGTAACTACCTCATGTTGACCCAAGGATGCTCCACAAATCAGTTTCCTTTAACGGTTAAAAAAAATATAGGTTGCAGGCTGGCTGGTGGCACAGCAGTTAAGTGCAAACGTTCCGCTTCAGCGGCCCAGGGTTCGCCGGTTCGGATCCCAGGTGCGGACATGGCACCATGTGGCAAGCCATGCTGTGGTAGGAGTCCCACATATAAACTAGAGGAAGATGGGCACGGATGTTAGCTCAGGGCCAGTCTTCCTCAGCAAAAAGAGGAGGATTGACAGCAGATGTTAGCTCAGGGCTAATCGTCCTCAAAAAAAAAAAAAAGGTTACAATTTGCTTTATTTCCACATCCCTGTCAACCTCTCTGGGGGTCTTATCCTCGCCCCCCTCTCTTCCCACTGATGATAAATTTCCTGGCCTACTTTCAGTGGAGGAAGTCTGCCTGGAAGTATATCTATAAGGAACTGCACTTGGCTGTATGTAAATCTGACCACTGTGGTTTAGCCAAATCAGGAAATATTTTTCTCATATATCAAGAAGTGTAGAGTAGGACTGTTACAGCAACTCTGGGATGCCATCAAAGACTCAGACATGCTCTGTCTTCCTGCTCTGCCAGTCTTAGTGTGTGGTTCTTGTCCTTATGGTCACTTCCAGTCATCATGTCTGCACTCCAGAACAGAATAGTGTTCAGCCATTAAGTGCCGTTGTCACTGAAATTATGTTATAGAACATGGAGAAATGACAGATGTAAAAAAGTGTGTGGCAAAACCATCATGTGAAATATGATCCTGTTTGTATGTGTTGAATATTTGTCATTTGTCTGCCAGCACACTATCCTTATATGGGAAATAGCACCTGAACTTTTTTTGGAAAACAGAACCCCCTGGTTCTGACGGGAGCCGCCATCTTCTTATATGACCTTCCCTCTGTCACAGGTTTTGGTTTAGAGGTGGGCACTTGACCCAAATTGAGCCAATCATAGAACCATGCCACTTTGCCCATGACTATTTGTCAGGGAGTGCAGAGGAAATTCAAGCTGAGCCTGTTAGGGACCTTTCCTGTGACTTCTTAAAGCTAAAACAAAAGAAAAAAGACCTGGAAAGGGAAGATGTGAGGCTGAGGGCTATTGGCAGCCATATTTCCTGCCAGCCGACATGCAGCCTGCGAGTGAGACGAATGCAGAGAGAGGGAGGCAGAGGGCAGAGCCAAGAGGCAGTCCTGAGAACATTTCGGTCTCCGGTCACTGAGGCCAGAAATAACTCCAACTTATCTTTAGGTTTGTTTTATGAGACAATAAATATTCCTTTCTTGCTTAAGCTAGTTTGAGTGGTAAAGTTCAGGCACTCACCATTTAAAAGTTCCCTAGGAATGTACCATTTCTGTTTTTAAAAAATCTGTGCATGTGTATACAAACACACACGCATTCATACATATATGCACAAATACAGGAATACTTTTTCCTTGTCTGTATTTTAAATCTTCCTCAATGAACACATTAATTTTTTTGTTCTTTTTGTCTTTGTAAACACATTAATTTTTAATGTCATATTTTAGAATTACTCATTTAAATGTAGTCATTGTAAAGGGTTCAGATAATTCACAAAAAAGGGAATAAAATTAGAAACAAAATAAGCAACTTTCATCCTTGCTAATAAGAATAGCAAAAGTATTTTAACCTCTTTTAAGCTGATCTACTTCCAGGATAATTAACCAATTCAAGTCCTTTTTGGTAGAGATTCAGGACAAAGCATCTGTAGTCTGGGTCTAAGTGATAAAAATGATCTGTCAGGATTGTCACCAATTGGTATGATAATGGGGTAGTTCTCTTAAGAATCCGGTCTTTACAGAAGATAGAGCTCAGCGTGTCCTCATATGGAGAAGGGCCTCCGTACCACCTCCTGCCAAGATCTGGGAACCAACTTCGTTTCCTGTCTCTGGTAACCCGACATCCCTTATAAAAGGCTTTTCTCTCTCCTGTGAACCATATGAGGAAGCCTTTGTGACCTCTGCATGCTAATTTTTGCAAGACAGAAATTCTCTATTTAAAAATACATGTTGAAATCACGTTATTCCATCACCACGGGGAGTTTCTTGTTTCTTCTAACAAAACATTTCTATTTATTTTTAAGATTATACAAGTAATATGCATTCATTTTTGAAAAACCAGAAATATAAATAAATAAAAAGAAGAGAAAAATCCTACCACCTACTAAAAAAAAAAACCACTGCTAATACTTTGCTACACATCTTACTATTGTGTGTAATAGAACATTTTGGCTGAGTGGAAGCTAGGGCTCAGATATCTTTGGGGAGACCAGGAGCCTCCTGCCTGTCTTTCCCTACTCGGTTTGGATCCTCTTATGTGTGTCAGCATCTGGTGTTTTTCCTTTTTTGTTTAAAGGAGGAAAAAGGAGATTTTTGATGCAGACTGATCCGGGGAGAAGAAGAAAGGAGGACAATTTTGGGAATGGTCCAGTGTCTGGCTTGTTTCTTCTGCCACCCCATGACCTCAGTCTGAGAAACGGAGAGAACCGTGTTGCACAGAGGCCCACCCAGGCCTGGGGGACGGGCAGTGCTCCTCCGGGAGCAGGCGACGCCTTGTTGCCCAGCAAGGCCCCTCCTCTGCTCATCCAAGGGCAGAGGCGGCCGGGTGGGGCAGGGCTGCCATGCGAGGCGCTGTAACGCAGCGGGAGGAACCTAACAAGGGCAACCCTGCCACATCTGGGGATTCCCAGAAGAAAAGGATGAGGAAGGACACCGAGGTCTTGTAGTCAAAGAGATGGAATTTCG